CCTGGGTGCTGGGTTTATTGACATGCATCACACCCTGTTCATAAACCTTTTACCTTGTTGAAAGTTCCTTTCAACCATATGAGAATTTATATTAGTGATGACTTGAAGATGACTCTTGGAAGATGGGATTCTGACTGCCTGAGAAGCCAACCTTGTAATTTGAAGATTAGAACTTTTAACCCCACTCTGATCTCCAGGTAGGGGAGAGGAACTGGAGATTGACTTAGTCACTAAGGGATAGTAACTTAATCTTGCTTGTGAAATTATGCGTCTATAAAAATCGTAAACAATGGGGATAAGGCTTCGAAAGCTTTCAGAATAGTGTATAAATCAAGGTACAGGAGTATGGCATGCCCCAAGATTCATTCACCTCACCCCATCCTCATCTCTTGTTCTATACATTTCTTCCATTGTGGTAGCTGTTCCTTTTTTAGGGATGGGGGGAATTTCCTGGTTTTCATGTCACACTATGTCCCTATCTAGCTCAAGCTGACCTTGAACTCCTAATCTTCCTGCCTCACAGTCCCAAATGCTGAGATTACAGTGTGCACTCCTATAATGGGTTCTGAGCTGTATCCTTTCTAATACACTGCCAGTAATGAGTAAAGCACTTTCCTGAATTCTCTGAGCTATTATTATTCTAGCAAATCATTGAACAGCGGAAGTGCTCTGATTGATATCTAGTTGGCTAGAAGTGCAGGTCACAGTGGCATTCATTCTGGGCAGCTAAGTGTCATAATTGTAGGATAAAGTGTCCTGAGAGTTGGAGAATTGCTTAATGTGACGGGGATGCTCACACATTTGTTGTCAGAAGTATTCTGCATAGAAGTTTTTTTCCTTCTTAACATTTTTTTGAGGGTGTGTGTGAGACACTGTCTTGTGTAGCCAGGCTGTCATCAAACTGGTTATGTAGCCAAGGATGGCTTTGAACTCCTGATCCTGCCTCCACCTCCCAAGTGCTAGGATTACAGTGATGCCCAACCATGGTTAGGGTCTTTTTAGCTTTCTTCTTCAACTGTTTCTTAGGTCTATCTTCTGTTAATCCATTTACAACAGCCTCTCTAGCCCCCAAAGATTTGCAGTTTTTGTTCTACAAGATGAACCACTCAAGAAAAGTTTCATGGTGATTAGTATTCAAGGATCATTTCTTTAGCAGTAGCCACTAGAGAGACAGGAAAGATAGGCAGAATTTCAGAGTCCCAAGGAGAGCCTATCAAAAGCTCAGGGCCTCAAGAGAGTTATAGACAAGCAGAGAGAGGCAGGTAACTCAGGTCAAGTCCCCATGAAGAACAGTATTTTGGCAGAGAGAAATCAGCCCTAACAGCCTTTATTGAGAATTGCCATGGATCCAGCAAAGAATGCTTAAGTCTCTCTTCCTGATCAGAATTCTGTCCTGAAGCAATGAATGTGTGTTTGGTGTCATGCCCTTTATTAAAAATTGTATGTGAGTGCTGAGGCTCAGTAGTAGAGCAAATTCCTAGCATGCACCAGGTGCTAGATTCAATCCCCAGCACACATACACACATATACATAAAGAATATATAGGAAAACAAGCACAATAACACTTATGGGGCCAAAAAATGGTAAAGGGGGGAAAATCACACTTAATCAATAGGTTCCAGATCAGTTGGGAAAAACGAATCAGCATATATCCTGCAAGCAGCAGGTCTACAGAAGACCTGCTGATGACAAAGCCACATTGTCTCAGCACCAGCCAACCCTCAAAGGCCCACATTGCAAGGACCAGGGAATACCTGCCTGACCTCAGTGTCACAGTATAGACTGAGGTGTAGCACAGCTCAATCGTCATCTTATCCACGGACCAGGACAGGAAGTACTCTTTAAATAGATTTTTAAAGATTTAATTTTATTATTTATATGTGTATGTGTGTGTGTGTGTGTGCGTGTGTGTGTGTGTCTGTGTGTGTGTGTGTCTGTGTGTGTGTGTGTTTTACAAGTATGTATGCAAGTGACCACTTAGGTCAGAAGAGGGTGCCGATCACCTGGAGCTGGAGCTACAAGTAGTTGTGAGCTGCCCATCATGGGTCCTAAGAACTGAACTTGATCCTTTGGAAGAGCAGCAAGTACTCTTAACCACGGAGCCATCTCAGCCTCAGGAGTTCTCTCTTTTTTTCTTTTTTAATCAGGACATACTTTCCTATGAGGCTGAGATAAAAGGACACCATGTTTACTACACTTCACTCATATCAGATTCTAAATACAACAATAAAACCTCCTCTTCCTCTCTGGCATCAGGAAGAAGTACTTCCTTTAACAGAAGGCCCGCCCATGAATTCCTATTCAATGCTATTAATATCCCATAGCCATGGGCTTGGAAGGAATAAATAAATTTAGGAATATAGATTACCTTCCTCTTTTTCTCTTTCTTTCTTTTTTTTTTTTTTTTTTTTTTTTCCCGGTCTTTTTGAGACAGGATCTCCCTGTAGCCCCAGCTGGCCTGAAACTCACTATGTAGACCAGGCTGGTCTTGAACTCTCAGAGACCCATCTACCTCTGCCTCCTGAGTGCTGGGATTAAAGGTGTGCATCCTCCACACCTGGCTGTCCCTTATTTCTTATTCATGGACACTGCCTGGTTTTGTTTTCTATTTTCTTGAACCAAGAAGGGAAGGGAGTTGAACATGGTGGCACATGCCTGCAATCTCAGAATTGAGAAGGTGAGGAAGAAGGATCTTGAGTTTCAAGACAGCTTGGGCTGCACAGTAAGGCCCTGTCTGTTAAAGGAAAGAAAGAAAGGAAGGAGGGGGAGAGAAAAGAGAGAGAGAAGAAGGAAAGAAGGAGGGAAGGAAGGAAGGGAAAGAAAGAAAGAAAGAAAGAAAGAAAGAAAGAAAGAAAGAAAGAAAGAAAGAAAGAAAGAAAGAAAGAAAAAGAAAGAAAGCGCTACAAAGAGAAAACCATAGAGACTGACAGCAGAATAATGGTTTACAGAGGCTGGCAAAAGAGGACGAGGAATTACTATTTAAAAGATGTAAAGTGCTGAGCATGGTGGTACACAACTTTAATAACAGCACTTGGGAGCAGAGGCAGGTAGATCTCCATGAGTTTGAGGTCAGCCAAGGCTACATAGTGAGACTCTGCCTCAAAAAAAAGAAAATAAAAAATAAAAATAAAGATATAAGCTTTGGGGGCTGGAGAGATGGCTGAGTTGGTAAAATGCTTGTCATTTAAGTGTGAGGACTTGAGGTCCAACACCCAGCACCCATATAAAAAGTGCTGAGGAAGCAGAGACAGGAGAATCCCTCCAGCTTGCTGGCCAGCCAGTCTAGGCAATCTGTGCACTCCAGGTCTCCAGGTTCAGTGAGAGACTGTCTCAAAAGACGATAATAACAATAATGTGGAGAAGCAATTGAGGAAGACATCCAGTGCCAACCCCTGGCCACCTCATGAACACACACACACACACACACACACACACACACACTAATAATAATAATAATAATAATAATAATAATAATAATAATAAATTATGGCTGTCAAGTTTTGTTTTACAAAATGAAAAAATAGAGATGGGCAGTTGTGATGGTTGCATAACATTAAAATGTATTTAATACTACTGACCTGTATAGTTTAAAATGCTTAAGATGGAAACTGGAGAGATGGCTCTGCAGCTAAGAGCATTTACTACTCTTGCAGAGGACCCAGGTTCAGTTCCCAGCACCCAAATCAGGTGACTCACAACCACCTTTAACTCCAGCTCCAGGGGATCCAATGCCTCTTTGGCCTCTGCAGGTACCAGACACACACATCATACATATACATTCATGCAGGCATAACACTCACATACATAAAATAAAAATAAATAACTAAAAAATTAAGATGTTAAATTTTGTTATATATAGTTTACCAAAATAAAGAGACATTTGCTGGACATAGTAATGCATGCCAGTAATCCTAGCACTTGGGAGGCTAAGATTCTGAGTTCAAGGACAGCCTGGACTGTTGGGAGCTGCTAATCTATTATGTGCATTGAGCTGTGGCAGCCTTGTTTACTGTTTGTGTTATGCACACCAGTATCTAATCTGCCTATTCAGGAGGAATGTGTTTATATGGAGAGCCTCACAATACCTGACCTGGAGGCAATAGTGGTAAACAAAAAGATCAAAGAAGCTTTGATCTGACCACTCCTCCTTGACCCTCAGATACAGGTGGGGAAAAACAGCTGTTGAAACTAATTGAGTTCTTCTGTATAAAAAGGTGGAGCTGAAATAAACCGGGCCTGCAGTATTTACTGTCAGTCCTCCCAAGCATCTTTTCTGTCTCTTCTTTTTTCTTTCAATCCTCACTCCCCCTTTCAGGTACTGTCCATCTTGGCCAGCTGGCACCAGCACTGGACTACAACAGCAAATTCCAGGCCACACACCAGACTACACAGTGAGACTGTTTTAGTCACTCTTACCTCACAAATAAGTGAGAAATGCAGTAAGGACAGATAATTCTTTGCCCAATCCTCAATCATTTCATTGTATCAAGACTACTTCTCAGCAATGTTAGCTCACTTGAAAACCATCATCTTATTTAATTTGTGGTTAAAATCCTCAGTTAACTGTGGTAACTCTTCATTAATCAGAATCATTGTTTCCATCCCTTAATTTGATAAACACCAAGAGGGGAGGGGAGAATGTGGGAGGAAAACCAAGCCAAGAGGAAAATCTAGAATAGGTCATTTGGGGATAGAGAGAAAGGAAGACTAGGTTTGTTTTCAGAGGAATATGTACTAAGTGTGCTTATAGCTGGCAGAAGAGCTGGAAGACATTGTCCTTGCAGGTGCACCCTGGGAGTGGTGACAGCACAGAGACAGAGTGTGGGTGGCACATCAAGGTGAGGGCAAGGTCGGGAGAAGGAAGGTAGAACTGACTTCTGCTGAAAATTGCTCAGGCAGTATTAGTTTCCTGTGTACCATGTAATCCATGCAGTCTCTTCCACCTTCCCTGAGGCCAGCTCAGGCTTATGCTCATGTTTCTCCCAAGGAAAAAACATCAGTAGAGGTTCAAAGGCCCCATTTGAGGGCTTTTTTATTGTTGTAATTATTAAACATGCTAAAATCACATACAGTGGCTATTTCTGCCCTGACTCCACAGTGGGGTAGCTGGGAACTATTCAGGGGTGTCACTTGGCTCATGTGGCTTCTGGGGATGATTAAAGTTGGAGGGATAGAGGTAGGCAGGTTACCAAAGCCCAGAGACCCCTTCATGAAGGACACATTTATCAACACTAACTTGTAGCTTCCGAAAGCTTACCCACTAAGTCTTTATTTCCTTCCTAAATCTACCCTAGTCCTCATTTCCCTAACTATGGCCCCTGGAACCTCTGCCATCTCTGGCCCTTTTGGTCTTTTCCCTTGCTTCTGCCAGTGTTAGTAGTTCCCTTCCTTGGAATTAATCTACTCAGCTACTAATGTGTACTAGTGTGGTAAGCTGCTTGATTTAGATATGCCCAGAAGGAAAGGGAAGCTCCTCTGGTTTCAGTTATTGGGGCTGGAAGTGGTGGTATAGAAGGCTCATCAAGGGTAAGGATGCTACCTGAAGTGTGCATGTTGTAAATGGCAGAACAGGGCACCTTCAGGCACTCCACTCTGAAGGCCTTCCCCTCCTACCCTTAGCATTGGGAAGAGGGCGAGTAAAACTTCAAAACCTTTTCTCAAAACCAATTCCACAGGACAGGCACTGGTACTCATCCAGAGCCTTAGTCCAAGGAGAAACCAGTCTATCCAGTTAGGCTAGTGACTACAAACTGAGGTCTTCATCATTTGTGTGTGCTTGTGACTCTACTGCTGTGATGGCTTGAGAGGGCCAAAGAAAGGGATATATGAAGGTTGAGCTTGCCTCTGTGACAGGCTAGAGGGGAAAGGGACAAGACACATGGGAGTCAGAGCTGTGGAGAAGGGGAGACAAAGCAGAAGGGTGAAGGGCAAGGCTGGCCATTCAGGAGCTGGAATCCTTTTTCCTTTTCTGGAATCGCCGAAACTTGCCCTGAATGGCAAGGGCAGCCTTCTCTGTCTCTGGTGCTGTCAGGTCAATGTCAATCTCCTCTTCCTCCTCAGCTTTCTTGGTGCTGCCAGCCTTCCCTGTAGACCATTGGAGACACATTAATAAACCAACCTTTCCTATTCCAGTCCCTTTGCTCCAGACCCCAAACACAGCAGAGCTTAGAATGAGCTTAGACTCTCCTCAGAGTCTCCCAATCTTTTCAAAGACTTCAGATCACAATTTTAGAAATCAGGATACTAGGCTGGAAATTAGTAATAGTTAACTCAGGAAGTTTTGCTATTCTTGGATCAAATGACAAATGTCTCCTATCATCACGTATTCCTAAATCCATCATTTATTCAAGTCCCAAAGCACACTTACTTTCCCTCAATTTCTTTTCTTTTCTTTTCTTTTTTTTTTTTTTTTTTTTTTGTTTTTTTGAGACAGGGTCTCCCTGTAGCCCCAGCTGTCCTGGAACTCACTATGTAGACCAGGCCCCAGGCTGGCCTTGACCTCACAGAGATCCGCCTGCCTCTGCCTCCCAAGTGCTGGGATTAAAGGCGTGTGCCACTACGCCCGGCTGTAATTTTACATTTTTTTAGTGTGTCTTTGTGTGTGTGTGTGTGTGTATCATTTCTCTCCTTCTATCATGTGGGTCCTGGGACTCAAACTCAGATCATCAGTCTTGATGACAATCATCTTTACCTACTGAGCCATCTTGCTGGCCTCTTATCATTTTATCTGCCTTTCCCAAACAATCCAGATTTTACTTTGTAAAGTCAAGAGAAAATACAGGGGGCTAGGGAGATGGTTCGGTTTTTAAGAGTACTTACGTCAGTCTTGATGACAATCATCTTTACCTACTGAGCCATCTTGCTGGCCCCTTATCATTTTATCTGCCTTTCCCAAACAATCCAGATTTTACTTTGTAAAGTCAAGAGAAAATACAGGGGGCTAGGGAGATGGTTCGGTTTTTAAGAGTACTTACTGCTCTTGCAAAAGACCTAAGTTCAGTTCCCAGCACCCACATACGGCAGCTCACAAACTACTTGTAATTGCAGCTATAAGGGATCTAATGCTCTCTTCTGATCTCTGTGGGGTTCCACATATATGTGGTATATACACAGAGAGACACATCTATATACATAAATACAATTTTTAAAAAATTTTTTAGAAAGCGAATACTGATAAGATTACTTTTTAGGAATAAGTAGCAAGAAACCTAGAGATACAGTCATCCTTTGTTTCACTTCCTCAACTCCTTTGATGTTAGGGAGTCTTCAGATTTACGAATCTGCTTGTCTCTATATCTCCCCTTCACTAGCTCTACAAA